GCTAACGCATGAGGGAACCCACAAGTAATGCTCTTTCTATTTAGCGTTCTCTGCGCGTTTCGTTGTCTCCCGTTTGTTGTGCATCGCCTTTCACCGTGATCTATGTACAAGCAACCGTGCTTTTCCAGTGGTTTAACCCCCCTCCCCCCGGCTACGTCCCCTCTGCTACTTTTGTCAGTTTTCGCAAGCGCATTTCCTCGTGCGTTTCTTGTGCATTCGCCGTGTTACCTTACGTTTCCCATGCGTGCTGTTATGTCTGACCCCTGTGCGCTCCTGATGGGGCCTTCTTACATACCCCTTCCCTTCCTCCTTCGCATATGTTTTTTTGCTCCCCTTTAAACCACGGGTTTCTCCTTGTGTCCCGTTAGATGCAAAGAACTTCTGAATCATCTCAGAAGGCGGCAAAAATTGTTGACGTAATCGTTTTTGCCGTCAGCTTAGACTTGAGGGTCTTTCGAATTAAACAAATATATTTTGTCGACAGTTGTCAAATTCAACTCCGCAATTCTTTAAAGGGTACAGCGGAACATAGCTACTTAAACCAAACTTTTTAACATTCCTTCAACATATAGGTATCACTCCATGCTTTCAAGATTTCTAAAGTTTCAACCTTCTTACATTTTTATACCGCGAATTTTTTTCGGGCAAGAAGGTCGCCACCCCAAGCCAGAAGGTGTCCGTACGCCTACGACAGATGGTGTCGAAAGTTTGTGCTGTCATCATTTCAAATTTGGAATATCGATAGGGAAAAGCCACTTGAGGACACCAAGGAAAATATGATTTTCTTTTTAATCCCATTGTAAACCGGAAAGAAGCACTGGAAAGCGGGGTGGAAAAACACACAAAACGGATAGGACCAGTGTCAAGGGGTCATATTTTCGCGAAGGCAAAAAAACTCTTAACGCAGATAACAAGTAACAGATTGACACTTCGATGGTCTTAGTTTAAATTTCTTTAATTCAGAGTAATAGCTCGAGACAGTCCAAGTCAATAAATAAATTCTCTTAATGATACAGCAAATAACACCATTCTTGATCGGGAACGCTTCGAAACCAAACTGTTCTTTCATATAACGATATTCCTCTTCCACTGTGGCTGAATGAAATTATTTCAAGCGCCGTCAAATCACCAAGTGAATATTTTCATCCTTCCTCTTCTTTTCTCTTCGTAAAATTCAAAACTGAGTGGCTTGCCTTGTCCTCTCGCTCAGTACATAGGTACCAGTGCTAATCTGGCAAAGTAGAATGTGTCATGTCCGACTGTTCTATCTCTGCATTGTAAGTGTCATTTTCACTTTCCGTATTCTTGCGTAATTCTCCAAAAACATCCTGTAAGATCTTGACAGCAGTGCTGCAAGGCTCAAGTTCCTCGTGTACTCGCCTGTGAGCTCCACGTACAGTGGATACTAAACAGCAACAGAGAGAACATTGTGTTAGCCGACTTGAATTATAAAACATAATCCAGGACGAAACAGTCAGCGAAACAAGCAAACTGTACCAGTTGATGGCGACTTCCTGTTTCCGAGAATGGACCGAGCCCGCGATCTCATCACCAATGTTGCTTAGCAACAAGACCTATCCTCGTTATGTCACACATGTGTGATCATTCTCGAAGTATTCACGAGTCGTCACGCTGATGTTTGATTGGATAATAAGAATAGGAAACTATTCCAGTGCTTCAACGAAAATTTGCCGAGAACAGCACTTTCACACTACCATGAAAACTTTGACGAGATCCTAATCAATTAAACAACAGATTGACTTACATTTTTCACCAGCTGTTTTCTCGTCCGTCTGATCTTCGACTGGGGACTCCTAGAGAAAATAGCAGTAAGGTAAGTGTTCAGTAGCACATTCTCACAACTGTTTCCATACATTTGACATCATTTCCCTTGGGAGAATTGTGTTTTAAGTCACGACACTTTTCCTGAGATGATAAGCTATTGAGTTCCCAAACTGAAAAGATTCTTCCACGACCGCAGAGAAACCCTGTGCAGCCATATTTGGATGACAGATGTTCCGTAAATAACAAGAAAGAGTGAAGAAACAAAGTGGAGGGAAAACAAATGAGAAACGGTTACCTCTCGTTTGGATCGTAGCAGGCCAAAGTACATAGCGGCGCAGGGATACAGGAATAAGGGGAGGGAAAGAAGAGTCCTGCGCAGTGAGATATCGGGATGGAGGGGAGATGAAGGCCGGAAGGGGAAGAGGGCTAAAGCAAATGGAAGGAATCAGTTCTTTTCACCTGAGCACTAAGTTGCCGAACATAATTTCTGATGTATTCTTTGTAAGTATCGTGGTTTTCCTCCAACACAGTGCCCAGAGAAACAGCGTCTTCCGCTGTCATCAAGCTCGTCATGTGACACAAAGAATTGCAAAGCTATCAAAACAAACCGGAGTTTAGTAACAATCATACACAGCAGCGAAGCAATTACAACCCTCCCACAGTACAAAAGCCCAGTCCAGTTTCCCCAGGAAGTTGAACACACGGGGGACCGTATTTAAGTCTATGTAAAGAACATGGACTCCTACCTGCTGCCTCAGAGTATCCCTGTACTTGAATTCACAAAACTCGGTCACGTTCTCGGTTCCTTTCAATGCGTCAATCAACGTTGCGTACACGTGACTATAAAGAGTCACGTCACCAAAGTAACGCCTCTCTGGGGGAACTGATAACGGTATGACAGCATTGATGCGCACCTAGAATCAAACACAAGTGTTTCCAGCGTGTTGCAGTGTTGGTTTTGCTTTCCTACTGCTATTGAACCTAACCATTACTCAACAATTCACTTAACC